AATGACTTTTGCATCTTTTTTTTACTGCAATCAACAGCATATGCATACTTAAACATATTCGTGTATGTAAGTATACAGAAATAAATAACATCGTTTCACAGAACATTACACATTGTGCACCAAAGGTTTTTCTTTCTTATTCTTTCATTTTGCAAAGTGTTGCTCATGAGTCATGATATCATGATCGACTAAAGAGTGGCAACCTGCAGTTAAAAAAAAATAAGACTCTGATGGGCAATAATTAGCAGATAGTTCATTAATCTTTAACCCAGAGAGTAACCTAAAAGCAACTTTATTTTCTAATTCAGACTTCTTGTGTTCAAAGGATCTATTCTTGAGACATTCTCTGGGAGTGTCTCCTTCATTTTTACCTGGGACACAAATGGAGGTCAAAGCAGACGTGATTACAGAGGAAAATCCGGACCATAGTCTTACTTCCTGATTTCTGACATCAGCCGTAGATTCGGAACAACGTCTGCCCCCAACACCCAGACCAGAAACACCTTTTAAAGTAAAGTCTTTGTAAGGATTGGCTGGAAATTTATCCAACTTGACTCAGGTGACACCTCCAAAGTTTCTCAACTAGAAATAAAGGGTGACAGAAAAATAGGGACAGGTGAAATACCTATGGCATTTCATAAAATGAAATACAAAACAGCTGTGAAAAGAATGTCAGCCTGTGTGTAATGAACCCACTTTCAAAAAAGAGTAAGTTAAACACATCATGTGTCATAGACTTCCACATATTTTTAAAAGGGGGATATACCTGTTTATATGTGCATAGAATATTTATGAAAAGCTCCACGAGATATTAATTGTAGTAATGGGAATTGTCTCTAGGGAAGAAAAATAGAAGACAGGGAGTCTGGAATGATAATCAGTTCAGTCGCTCAGTCATGTCCAACTCTGTGACCCCCATGGACTACAGCACACCAGGCTTCCCTGTCCATAACCAATCCCTGGAGCTTACTCAAACTCATGTCCATTTAGTCGGTGATGCTATCCAACCATCTCATCCTCTGTCATCCCCTTCTCCTCCTGCCTTCAATCTTTTCCATCATCAGGGTCTTTTCTAGTGAGTCAGTTCTTTGCATCAGATGGCCAAAGTATTGGAGTTTCAGCTTCAGCATCAATCCTTCCAATGAATATTCAGGACTGATTTCCTTTAGGATAGGCTGGTTGGATCTCCTTGCAGTCCAAGTGACTCTCAAGCGTCTTCTCCAGCACCACAGTTCAAAAACATCAAATCTTTGGTGCATCATAGAGATTGAATATTTTTGTATACCTTTTCATTGTGTTTGAAATTTTTATTTTGTGTGTGTGTGTATATGTGTCTGTGTGTGTGTGTGTGTGTATAAAATTTTCGATTAATTTTAGGGAATTCCCTGGCCATTCAATTGTTAGGACTTGTTGCTTTCGCTGCTTGGGCCCACATTTAGTCCCTGGATGGGGAATTGAAATCCTACAAGCCTCGAGGCAGACTGAAAAAAAAAAACTAACTAATTTTTTAGAATATGATAGAGGAAGTAAGTATTCACAAACTCATTAAGATGAAGGGAGTTTTCTTGTCGATAGTCATATAAATAGATGTTTATTATAGCACCAAAATTCATTTTCTCTCATTTGTATATAATATAATTTACAAAGAGTTTCATATCTATTGCCTAACTTAATGCCCATGACAACATTTTGAAATAGGTAGGACAGTTACTAGAAGCCACAATTTACAAATTGGGGAAAACAAAAAATCCTGAAGCCTTAAGGAGTTAAAAATCTAGAGCATATTTTAAGGGAAGAAATTCGGAGTCATTTCCATGATTGTAATATAGTATAAATCTGAAATTTTACAGTATTATGAGTTACCAAGTAGTCTATTAATAGCCAAATTTTTAAAGACTTCAGCATTACTACTTGCAATATTGATCTCTTAACTAAGAAAATCTTGCATAAAGGAGGGAGGAAAAAAAAACCCTACTGAAAATCTTCATGTAAAATATGCCTAATAGTAGAAAATAAACTTTCACCTAATGACTGGTTGAAAATTAACATTAAAGAAGCTGCATTCAAAACTTTGCCGTATAGAATTTTACCTTTGAATTAGAACAAATGCAAAATAATTACCGAAGTGGAAAAAGAGGGAACTTACAAATCATCACTACTAAATCTTGAATAATACACTAAGGTTTTTGGTTATGGTCATTATATCTTCCAGAGTCCCAGACAAGCCAATTTTATACCTCCTTTTCCCAAGCAATTATTCATAGCAGCCCTTTCACTCTCAAGGCTGTCCTAGTTCGTGTGATAAACATCACAGTCTAGTCTCATACATCTTTAAGATCCTCTTGTTCTAGGGTTAGGACTTCATCTCAAAACTAAGAAGTACCCTCATTCATGCAAAATCATGCTCAGATTTTAGTTGAATGTACCAAAGAATGTTCAGACTACCGCACAATTGCACTCATTTCACATGCTAGCAAAGTAATGCTCAACATCCTTCAAGCTAGGCTTCAACAGTATATAAACAGAGAACTTCCAGATGTACAAGCTGGATTCAGAAAAGCAGAGGAACCAGAGATCAAATTGCCAACAGCTGTTGTATCATAGAAAAAGCTAGAGAATTCCAGAAAAACATCCACTTCTGCTTCATTGACTATACTAAAAGCCTTTGACTGTGTGGATCACAACAAACTGTGGAAAATACTTAAAGAGATGGGAGTACCAGACCACTTTTCCTGCCTCCTAAGAAACCTGTATGCAGGTCAAGAAGCAACAGTTAGAACTGGACATGGAACAACAGACTGGTTCCAAATCAGGAAAGGAGTACTTCAAGGTTGTATATTGTCACCCTGCTTATTTAACTTATATGCAGAGTACATCATGCAAAAGGCCAGGCTAGATGAAGCACAAGCTGGAATCAAGATTGCTGCAAGAAATTTCAGTAACCTCAGATATGCACCACCCTTATGGCAGAAAGTGAAGAGGAATTAAAGAGCCTTTTGATGAAAGTGAATGAGCAAAGTGAAAAAGCTGGCTTAAAACTCAACATTCAAAAAACGAAGATCATGGCAAACAGTCCCATCACTTCATGGCAAATAGATGGGGAAATAATGGAAACAATGACAGACTTTATTTTCTTGGGCTCCAAAAATCACTGCAGATGGTGGCTGCAGCCATGAAATCAAAAGATGCTTGTTCCTTGGAAGAAAAGCAATGACAAAACTAGACAACCAATTAAAAAGCAGAGACATTACTATGCCTACAAAGGTCCATAGAGTCAAAGCTATGGTTTTTCCAGTAGTCACATATGGATGTGAGAGCTGGACAATAAAAAAGGCTGAGCACTGAACAATTGATGCCTTTGAACTGTGGTGCTGGAGAAGACTCTTGAGAGTCCCTTGGACAGCTAGGAGATCTAAAGAGTCAAACTTAAAGGAAATCAGTCCTTAATATTCCATTGGAAGGATGGATGCTGAAGCTGAAACTCCAATACTTTGGCCACAGGTGCGAAGAACTGACTCATTGGAAAAGACCCCGATGCTGGGAGATATTAAAGGCAGGAAGAGAAGGGGTCGGCAGAGGACAAGATGACTGAGTGGCATCACCCACTCAATGACATGAGTTTGAGCAAACTCTGGGAGATGATGAAGGACAGGGAAGCCTGGTGAGCTGCAGTCCATGGGGTCACAAAGAGTTGGACATGACTGAGCAGGTGAACAACAACAAATGACTCTCAGATTTTAAAAAAGTGAGTAGTTTCCAGATCAACTGTTGGCTTTATTAAAGAGATTAACAGGGAGTCTCAGGGTCTGATTTGGGATTTCTTGTCTATGGGGATTTAAAAGCAAATATGAACCAGGTTTGACTTGGTGAGATTGAGGAAAGTAAAAGTGAAAGTCGCTCAGTCGTGTCCGACTCTTTGCAACCCCATGTACTGTATCAATCCATGGAATTCTCCAGGCCAGAATACTGGAGTGGGTAGCCATTCCCTTCTCCAGCGGATCTTCCCAACCCAGGGATCAAACCCCAGGTCTCCTGCATTGCAGGCGGATTCTTTACCAGCTGAGCCACCAGGCAAGCCCAGGATTGAAGACAACTAAATCCTCTTAGCAGGGTTCTGAACAGAGAGTTCAAAAAGTGCACGCCCTCCAAGAGCCCTTCATTCATGAATTTGTTTATTTATTCATAGTTGGAGAGTGGCAACTTGAGGCATGGCATGTTCTAAGTACTGCCTCAGTTTCGTCAATAATTTTACGAACTTTATGCTACATTTCCAGCAGTGCTTTGCAGGAATGTGATCTTATATGTAAGATATTGTGGTTTAAATGAGCCTCTAAATTCTTTTCTCTCTAGTACTCTTTAAAATTTCCATAATTTGTAATTACTCTATTCACGAATTACAAAGATTATTCCCATGGTTTGGATAAATTAAATGATTGCTGTGCTTTTTTTTTTTATGTTGCAATATATTTCTTCCTTAGAACAAGCAAATGAATTGTAGCCAAGCTGGAGATCATGATGAGAGCATCTTTTACCCAGCTATAAGCAGAGCTTATATAGAGCAGAGCAGAATATAGACACAATTACTGCTAGATTAGGCCAATGCCACTGGTTATTTATAAGATGTGTTTGCGTGCTAATACATTTTCTAAAGCACTTGGCATTTAAATTGAAGTTATTACTATGTGATTACTTGAGGTTTCTGTGTAAAGTACTAAAGAACGTTTTAATTGTTCTTCTATGTTTGCATTTACACTTTTAACAAAATCTTTTCAGAATATATTTAACACGCATGTACACAGTCAGATTCTCTCTTTGAGGGTGTTGGGACCTGGTGCTGAATCTGACAATTTGTCTCTTTCCTTGTGTCTGTAGATGTGTGGATCTTTACATAGGCCTTCTCTTTATTCCTCCCCCTTCTTTACTTTCCTGGAAATCTTTATTTCCTATCAATTACTCACCAGACTTTTCACAAAAGGAATCTTGTGGGGTTTTCTTTAGTTCTAATCATCACTTGTTGAGTGATTACTGTCACTGCCTTCACTGTCGCTGTCACTGTCGCTACTACTTCCATTGTTGTTGCCTTTTCCAGACTTGCTCTTGCTGTCACTCTTACCACTGCTGTCGCTGCTGTCACTACTATCGCTGCTGTCGCCGCTGTCACTGTCTGATTTACTGTCACTGTCGCTGCTGTCGCTGCTGTCACTATTGCTGCTGTCACTGTCGCTGCTGTCACTGTTGCTGCTGTCACTGCTGTCACTGCTGTCACTGCTGTCACTGTCTGATTTACTGTCACTGTCGCTGCTGTCGCCGCTGTCACTGTCTGATTTGCTGTCACTGTCGCTGCTGTCGCTGCTGTCACTATTGCTGCTGTCACTGTCGCTGCTGTCACTGCTGTCACTGCTGTCACTGCTGTCACTGTCTGATTTGCTGTCACTGTCGCTGCTGTCGCTGTTGTCACTATTGCTGCTGTCACTGTCGCTGCTGTCACTGCTGTCGCTGCTGTCACTGTCGCTGCTGTCACCGTCTGATTTACTGTCACTATCGCTGCTGTCACTACTATCGCTGCTGTCACTGCTGTCACTGTCTGATTTGCTGTCACTGTCGCTGCTGTCGCTGTTGTCACTATTGCTGCTGTCACTGTCGCTGCTGTCACTGCTGTCGCTGCTGTCACTGTCGCTGCTGTCACCGTCTGATTTACTGTCACTATCGCTGCTGTCACTACTATCGCTGCTGTCACTGCTGTCACTGTCTGATTTGCTGTCACTGTCGCTGCTGTCGCTGTTGTCACTATTGCTGCTGTCACTGTCGCTGCTGTCACTGCTGTCGCTGCTGTCACTGTCGCTGCTGTCACCGTCTGATTTACTGTCACTATCGCTGCTGTCACTACTATCACTGCTGTCACTGCTGTCACTGTCTGATTTGCTGTCACTGTCGCTGCTGTCGCTGTTGTCACTATTGCTGCTGTCACTGTCGCTGCTGTCACTGCTGTCGCTGCTGTCACTGTCGCTGCTGTCACCGTCTGATTTACTGTCACTATCGCTGCTGTCACTACTATCGCTGCTGTCACTGCTGTCACTGTCTGATTTACTGTCACTGTCGCTGCTGTCACTGCTGTCACTATTGCTGCTGTCACTGTCGCTGCTGTCACTACTATCGCTGCTGTCACTGCTGTCACTGTCTGATTTGCTGTCACTGTCGCTGCTGTCGCTGTTGTCACTATTGCTGCTGTCACTGTCGCTGCTGTCACTGCTGTCGCTGCTGTCACTGTCGCTGCTGTCACCGTCTGATTTACTGTCACTATCGCTGCTGTCACTACTATCGCTGCTGTCACTGCTGTCACTGTCTGATTTGCTGTCACTGTCGCTGCTGTCGCTGCTGTCACTATTGCTGCTGTCACTGTCGCTGCTGTCACTGTCGCTGCTGTCACTGCTGTCACCGTCTGATTTACTGTCACTGTCGCTGCTGTCACTGCTGTCACTATTGCTGCTGTCACTGTCGCTGCTGTCACTGCTGTCACTGCTGTCACTGCTGTCACTGTCTGATTTGCTGTCACTGTCGCTGCTGTCGCTGCTGTCACTATTGCTGCTGTCACTGTCGCTGCTGTCACTGTCGCTGCTGTCACTGCTGTCACCGTCTGATTTACTGTCACTGTCACTGCTGTCACTGCTATTGCTGCTGTCACTGTCGCTGCTGTCACTGTCGCTGCTGTCACCGTCTGATTTACTGTCACTATCGCTGCTGTCACTACTATCGCTGCTGTCACTGCTGTCACTGTCTGATTTGCTGTCACTGTCGCTGCTGTCGCTGTTGTCACTATTGCTGCTGTCACTGTCGCTGCTGTCACCGTCTGATTTACTGTCACTATCGCTGCTGTCACTATCGCTGCTGTCACTGCTGTCACTGTCTGATTTACTGTCACTGTCGCTGCTGTCACTATCACTGCTGTCACTGTCTGATTTACTGTCACTACTATCGCTGCTGTCGCTGCTGTCACTATTGCTGCTGTCACTGTCGCTGCTGTCACTGTCTGATTTACTGTCACTGTCGCTGCTGTCGCTGCTGTCACTATTGCTGCTGTCACTGTCGCTGCTGTCACTGTCGCTGCTGTCACTGCTGTCACCGTCTGATTTACTGTCACTGTCACTGCTGTCACTGCTATTGCTGCTGTCACTGCTGTCACTGCTGTCACTACTGTCTGATTTGCTGTCACTGTCACTACTGTCACTGCTGTCTGATTTGCTATCACTACTGTCACTACTATCACTGCTGTCACTATCGCTGCTGTCACTGCTGTCACTGTCACTGCTGTCACTGCTGTCACTGTCATCACTGTCTGATTTACTGTCACTTTCACTGCTGTCACTGCTGTCACTGTTACTGCTGTCACTGTCTGATTTGCTGTCACTTTCACTACTGTCACTGCTGTCACTGCTGTCACTGTCATCACTGTCTGATTTACTGTCACTGTCACTGCTGTCACTACTGTCACTGCTGTCACTGTCATCACTGTCTGATTTACTGTCACTTTCACTGCTGTCACTGCTGTCACTGCTGTCACCGTCTGATTTACTGTCACTGTCACTGCTGTCACTGCTATTGCTGCTGTCACTGCTGTCACTGCTGTCGCTACTGTCACTACTGTCTGATTTGCTGTCACTGTCACTACTGTCACTGCTGTCTGATTTGCTATCACTACTGTCACTACTATCACTGCTGTCACTACTGTCACTGTCATTGCTGTCACTGCTGTCACTGTCATCACTGTCTGATTTACTGTCACTATCGCTGCTGTCACTGCTGTCACTGCTGTCACTGTCATCACTGTCTGATTTACTGTCACTTTCACTGCTGTCACTGCTGTCACTGCTGTCACTGTCACTGCTGTCACTGTCTGACTTGCTGTCACTGTCGCTGCTGTCACTGCTGTCACTGCTGTCTGATTTATCTTTGCTGTTGCCTGATTTGCCACTGTCATCATCTCCATTGCTACCATTGGCATCGCTACCACTGTCATCAGCGTCTGATGTGCTGTCACCGCCATCGTCACCTCCTTTTGAGCCACTGTCATTGCCACGATCATTTGACTCGTCAGAGTTATAAGAGGTATCTCCTCGGCTACTGTGATTATTATCACCTTCAGAGTTGGCATCATCACTGCTGTTGGGGTCATCTCCTTGCATGGATTCATCGTCAAACTCGTAACTGTCATATCCATCACTGTTACTGTCACTGTGTGTTTTGCTGGGTCCAAGCTTATTTCCAGGTTCCAGTTTCTGGCCAGCTCCTTGTATAATGTCAATCTCTCCTTGTGTCTTGACACTTCCTTTGCCCACAATCATTCCATGCTGGCCTTTACTCTCTTTATCTTCATTAACTTTCCCAGCTTCTTTGGTAATATTGTTTCTGTGCCCACTGCTAGGACTTTCTATTTCCATTCCCTATGGAAAGATGGAGAAAAGAATGATTAATTAGTGAATGTTATGCTGCAAAATTGCATTGGTCTGAGGAAGACTGGGGAAATTGGCCAGAGAACAGGAGTTTGGATTCCAGTACTTCAGAAACACCTGTCTGTGAAAATGTGCTTTATTCTACTTGAAAGCGGAGAAGGCAATGGCAACCCACTCCAGCACGCTTGCCTGGAAAATCCCATGGATGGAGGAGACTGGTAGGCTGCAGTCCATGGGGTTGCTATGAGTTGGACACGACTGAGCAACTTCACTTTCACTTTTCACTTTCACATGTTGGAGAAGGAAATGGCAACCCACTCCAGTGTTCTTGCCTGGAGAGTCCCAGGGACGGGGGAGCCTGGTGGGCTGCCATCTATGGGGTCGCACAGAGTTGGACAAGACTGAAGCGACTTAGCAGCAGCAGCAGCTACTTAAAAGTACTCTAGTGTTTAGATTATAGACCATACCATTCATGTTTTTATCCAGTAGGAACTTCTGTAAACAGTTACATGATGCATTAATTATTTAGCATAAGACTTTTGAAGAACTCTAACCAAATCTTCAGAAATTTCAACTTTTTAAAATTGTTCCATAGAAGTGTCTAGTAAGGACTCTAGCTTCCCCATTGAATATTCAAGTGATTTAGGTGCAAAAATACATGACTGTTCATCATGATTTATTTTTGTGCTACCATCATGGGCAGAGGAGTCTGACAGGCTACAGTCCATGGGGTTGCAAAGAGTTGAACATGGTTGAGTGACTGAGCACGCACACACCATAATGAGAGGAAGGGGAGGAGTTAAACTGCCATTGAAAGAAACCAACTTCCCAAACTAACCTTATCTTGGCCCTTCCCAATAGCAGGTGGCTCTGACTTTTCGGTGATTCTATTTTCCATAGCTTTGTTCTCTCCGTGACTGGGTTTTTGAGTGTCCTCTGTTTTCTGGCTATCATTGTCTTCTGGAATACCGGCAGAATCTTCCTCACTCTTGGAGATGTCTCCACCAATGACATGGGCGTCTTCGTTGTCCCCAGGGCCATCATCTTCACTGCTAACTGAATTTTTACCTAAGCTATTGTCCTCATCATCCTCTTCTCCATGAGACTGACCCTCCTGGCCCTTGCTGGGATCACTACCCTTTTCTCCATTCCCTGTTTCTTCACCTCCATCATCACCAGAGCCCTTGTCTTCACCTTCATCTGCTCCATTCCCACTAGGACTTCCTTCAAAATTATCCAAACCAACATCTTCTCCGTTGCCAGCTCCACTTCCCACTGGCAATATCCCTGCCTCCTCATTCCCATTTCTCTCGCCTTCTCTCTGAGGTGTTGTTTCACTTGTGTCAGCCCCGTTTCTACAGATATTCCCATTGATTTCATCCTCCTGACCTGTACTGCTACTGCTTCCAGCTACTTGATGTCCATCTTCTTGGACAACAGTGGCGTCCTCACTTTGACTTGTGTTTCCAACACTCGCATTTTGGGAATTGTTCTCAGTAATCCCATCAATATGGCTCCCATTTGCTGCTCCAGCATCTTGGATGATGCTTACTTGTCCCCTGAGGCCGTTTGCACTGGTGCTATCTTCTTGTCCTTGGATCCCATCATGATCGTATGTTTCTGGTTTTCCTGTGCCCCCCTTTAGATCCTCTGTATTCCCCTTTTCATTTACTAATGTGGAACCTGTAGAAGAACTTTTCCCTCCCAGCTCTGCCCACTCAGAACCATTTCTCTCTCCTCTGTAGCCATCTTTGGTATCCTGTCGCCTTCCTCGTTCATTTTCATGCATGAGGCCAGCACTTTCTTTGGTGGTATCATTGGCATTTAATGCATCCTGAAAAAGAGAAACAATTCAAATTAAGTTGTGGATATCATCTTAAAGTAAAGCAAACTGAAAAGATAAGCATCAATTTTCTGGAAGTTAATGGAATCTAAAAGTTTAGAAATACATTTTACACCTCATACCTGTATTGGCACTTTTGATTTTGCTAGAAGATTTAAATTCACAGTTTCGTCAACAGCATGTCTCTCCAACGGCTTGATTTGAGGAACCTACCAAAGTGAAAATACTGGAAATTGAAAATATTCTTATTTTGTGTACATGTGTGCACACATGTACTCACACACATGTGCACAGATACATGCACATACATATTATCCCTAAATGAAGGAAAAAAGATATAACACAAAGGCCAAAGTATGATCTAATTGTATAGAAAAGAGAAGTGACTTGTTACATGGATTCCATAGAATTTAAACTTGGCATATAGATATTTTTCATAACAATATTACCAATTTTACCAAGGTTTTAACCAGATCACTTATCTCATCACTAGAAAGGAAATAGTCTTTTTATTAAAAATGAAGAGACAGCTTGTAAATCACACTTACACACTGTTATCACACTTACATAATTTAAAAAATAAAAAAGAAAGAAGATGCCCTAAAAAAAATAAATGAGCAACAAGGATATATTGTGTAGCACAGGGAACTATAGCCATTATCTTGTAATAACTTTTAATAAGGTATAATCTGTAAAAATACTGGATCACTATGCTGTATACCTGAAACTAATATAATACTGTAAGTAAACAATACATAAATAAATTTAAATAAAAGTAACATTGAAGAAAAAATGAGGAGACAGACCTTTGGTGTTTCTGTATGACAAGTTTCTTGCAGCAGCACCAGATCCGCCCTAAGAATAATCCTGGCCAAAACCCCTAAGAGAATAGTAGGTCTGACCAAAACCAGGGCAGAAACAAAGGCAAGTCTATGCTACCTCTGTGCCCTTCAGGAGCACAACAGAAACAGTTAAGAAAATTCTCAACTACAGAAATACCATGAGGAAGGCATATCAAAATGGCAACTGTAGCATCTGGCTAATAAAATTACAAATGACTTAATTTTCCTAATTTATCTTTGCTGGTGTTTATCTCTCAAATACAACTTTCTGAGTGAAACATTAGTTTTCCCTTTGCTGAAAAAAATGTGATTTTTTTTCCTATTTTTCTTTCTTGAAACCTTCTTAAACAAGGCTTCATTGATAATCAGAATGAAATTCATAGGGCATGAGCAAAGATGGACAGTCCCTACAACTTCTAAGCATTAAATGTAAATTAATCTGAATGAATTTTAAAAGTAACAATCTTTCCAACAAGACAGGTGTTTCAGTTAGAAGACTGGGAGCATGAATTGGAGTGCATATTTAGTTTTGTTGAGACCCCAAACAGATCCTGTAAAGTCTTTCATACAAATCTAAAAGTTTAGGCTCAGCTGATCTGCAAGATCTCCAGAAAAAAATATACACATATGTGTGTGTGTGTGTGTGTGTGTATACACATATGTGTGTGTGTATTAAGAGAGGTAGTAAAGTAAGAAGGTTTTTTTGAGGAAAGCATACTTACTGGAATGGTCCATGCTACTGCCCAAATGCAAAAATATACAATGATCTTCATTTTCTATAGGAATATTAATCAGTGGCTGTTATTGAAGAAAAAAAGAACAGTAAAAAATTACTTATAAGGCAAAAGATGATAACCATATAATGTATTATTTTGGTCTCTAACCATGTGCCTCTTTCCTAGGTAACAAGTATGTACACAACATGAGAAGAAGCTGCCAAGACTCAGCGTTCCAGTACATACCTGAGCACACACACATTGTCTGTGATCAGCACACACCAGGAGTTGGGTCACAGACACGCAAGGGCATTATCCAGCTCAGCGTGATGATGAGCTGCCTAAACTCTGTGATTTTCCAGTGAAGGGGTACAGCCGGACAGTTACAAAAGCCATAACTATAACTCTCCTTCTGCTGTTCCTGCTGGCAATAACAAATCTTCTGAATAGTTTTCATCAAGGATCAACTAATTCTGCTAAGAATACGCTTAATAGATGAAGGATTTATGATTCCCATCCCAATCCACACGCGTTTGGGCTATATTAGACTGTACAGAAAAGAAATTACCAACACGAAGATGAAAGGATATGGAGTTTGGATTCAGAGACCTAGGTTCCAATTTTATCTTTGTTATTTGACATGCAAGCTTGAAGAATTTAAGTAGGTTTCTTAAGCATTTGATTCCTTGGTCTAGGATAATAATAGCCACACTGCAGGATTATCCCAATTATCTTAGCAGAAGATTTTTCTCTGAGAAGCTTTCTCTGGCTCCATGTCAAAGGGCATTTGGTGGGATTTCCCTGACGGTCCAGAGTTTGAGACTCTCCCTTGCAATGAGGAGGCACACGTTCGATACCTGATTGGGGAACTAGGGTCCTGATCGCCACGGGGTATAGCCAAAATTTTTTTTTTTAAAGGGTATTTGGTGCCTCTCTCCTCTTTACACCCAACAGAAGCTGATAACACTGCACTGATAGCACTGCACCATTTTCACTGTTTTCGAGTAGGCTGGCAGCTACTTATATGTTCCTCTGCCATAATGAGACCTCCTCAGGTCCAGGAGACTGTCTTGGTGATCACATTATTCTAAAACATAGCATAGCAAAAGCCATTTTGTGAATACTGTGGATAAATAAACACATATTACTGTAAGCAATATAAGTGTGGAGCATTGTTCCTGCTATTTCACCATCACTTAATAAATGATATCACTTATTATGTGGGACTTCTGAAGACATGATCCTTCACTCCTGTTAGAATTCACCTTCAGAATCAGTCTAGTATACATTTCTTGTACATTGGGATAGATATTGAGTTTATGAGAATCAAAATTTTAAACAGCTATTTACTACAAACTGTATCTCTTGACATAATGATGCTAGTCCTATAGAAAGGAAGGAAGAATTTTACTTCTATTTCATGCACCCCCACTGGGTTTTGAGATTATAATACTGTAGATCATAAGATAGCCTTGATTCAATTTAATGTTGATAGGGGAAGCATAATAAAACCTCCATGAATATCAACTATCTTAGAAGAACTGGCACTTTTAACAGAGGAGAAAATCCAGTTTCAGAGTAACTGAGGAGGTGGGGGAAATGTGCTTACTCTTAGAGCTGTTCAGCAGAAAGCCAAAAGTAGCTAAACTTCCTTAAAAAATGTTAGAGATTAAAAGTGAGGCTGATGGGACCTCAGGACAGCATAATGCAGAGCTCTGGGGCATGGATGCGAAGGGCAGCTGTTTTGTAAGCAGAGGCTATAAGGTCCTTTGCAGTCCCAAATATAGTTATTACATAGAACTGAAGACCAGTCTACAGTACGGTTTGGAGGACACATGATCTCCTGGAAAGGAACTTATAGTGAAGGCCAGAGTTACGTGCATCCCATTTCTAAACTGCAGTCCATCAACCTGACCACTTTAGTTCTCTTGCAGATCTACTCTAGAACAATTGCTCTATGCACACTGCGCCTTGCCACTATGTCCACAGGTAAGTAAAAGGCACAATAGACACTATAGAAATGGCCCCAGTTTTATCAGCCTGAAAGCAGAGGCTTTGGGATTATGTGAACTCCCTTCAGATGATTTCATGTATTGTCACCAATAAAATGAGCTTTTACTTAGTTAACTTGAACAAGTTAATAAAACCTTGAAAAACAAGCTTAACTAAAGCCCTGTTTCAAAGTCCAAGTGTTAGTCGCTTGGTCATGTCCGACTCTGCAACTGTAGCCCACCAGGCTCCTCTGTTCATGGAATTCTCTAGGCAAGAATCCCTTCTCCAAGGGATCTTCTTGACCAGGGTTCGAACCCAGGTCTCCTGCATCGCAGGCAGATTCTTTACCGCTGAGTCATCTGGGTTGTCTAGTGTTTATCAAAATGAATCAAAGCAGATAATTACCAAGTTTCTACCTCAGTTTGCCATTTTTTTAGTAACGTGTCTTTTATTTCCCAAAACTATCATTATATCATGAAATAGGAAAAGTATGTGCAGAAGTAGACTCCCCAGATATGCTAAGTAGAAGTATTTTAAGCTAGTTTTAAAATCTTAATGTCAATTAACAAAATAATAATAATAATTTTTAGGCCAAAGATTGATTTTTCAGGGACCGAAAAAATTAATGTAAATTGAGATTTATTCATTCATTCAGAAAACGTTTGAAGGCCTAATGTGGGCCAGATACTGAGCCCTGGGACCAGATATAAACCCTGGCCTCATGGAAATTATCACTGACTGGATTAGCCAAATTTTGGAATAAATGTAATTTAGTGCATTAAATCACTTGCCAATGCAGGAGATCCAGGAAACGTGGTTCGATCCCTGGGTCGGGAAGGTCCCCTGGAGGAGGAAATGGCTACCCACTCCAGTATTCTTGCCTGGAAACTCCCATGGACAGAGGATGCAGGTGGGCTACAGTCCACAGGGTTGCAAAGAGTTGGACATGATTGAGCCTGCACACACATACGCAACACATTAAATCAAATTCCCAAATCCATGTTTATTTCTTAATAGAGTTAACATTTAAATGTTACTATTTAAAGGAGATTGTTTCTTTTTCCCTTAAATCCCATCACACCTTATATTGCAATGATGAGTTTAAAAAGGGGGCTTTAACTAGATTCAAGGTCCTTAAAGATGTTTTTTTTTTCTAGGTAAAAATAATATTAATGGAGACTTGGTGAATTATGTCTAAAATATTCAAATCATTCATTCTGATGTTAATATGTTAAATATAAAATGTGTGCTTCATCTTAATATACTTTTTCTGACTATTTTTAGCAACTGATATTTTAACATAATGGCTATGAAAAAAAAGTCTTATTCTTCAGTGATACAATATTTTGCGAGGTGGAATTAGCAACACTTACCACATAATGTTCTATTATCTTTTAAAACATAGTCTGGATTCAACAAGTCAAAGGGAAGCAAAAAATCTAATTATAAGGGTCATTCATTTTTTAAAATCAAATTGGCTTCTCTGAAACTGGAATTTCTTTCTAAAGGCATCAGTTGGTTCCGAGTAAAGAGGATGTTCCAGCTTACCTTAAAAGCCTTCAAAGGGACTTTGAAAATCCAGAATTTCTTATCTTTCTCTTTGAGGATTGAGAGTAGCACACTGTCCTGGACTTTTGCATGACAATTTTGTTCCTGCCGAAATTTAAAGTCAGTTTGATAATTATCTCAACCAATCACTGTTTAGGATCCTTGATACAGGGTTATAAAGTGTCACCATGTCTATGAAGCACATAATAACTTCCCCCGCTTCCTTCACTTGCTGATATGTATTTGCTCACAGCACCATTCGATTCTGAAGGAACTAGACTTACTTTCACTTAATTAAATAGCTCCTGGAAGGCTGTTCTGCATCTTAAATATAGACCATCAGTGTAACATATCTGAAAAGAGCCACTTAAACTCTGTCACCCTGACATTTCTTGTCTTCGTAAGGTTGGCAATCTAAGAAAACTCTAGGTTTCTTTAGTAAATATACTGCCTATTTAAGACCCCTATCATTCCTGAGGTAGGTATTAACGTTTCTGTGCTATAATTCAAGAAACTGTCCACATGCAACAGCCTGGATGTTGCCTAAGGGGTCTTTAACAATCTATAAATAGCAACTCCCAAGAAGTCTTTCTGATCTAAATAAACAGTAATGAGAGGTGTTTTAAAATGTATCAATTTAGTATTCAAACTAAATTTTAAAAATAAATATTCAAAATACTAAAACTCATTGTAAGGTAGCTAGATTGCAAAAGTACATACATACAGTGGATCTAGCTCTCCATTATCTCTCAGTTCTTTGTACTAGTTGTGGAGGAGAACATAGAAAGCTAGACCTTAATGCTAGCAGAAGCTGTGGCACTTGAACTCACCATTCTCTTGAACCCCAAACGTATGCTATAAAGAAGGTGAATCCCTAAACCAGTTCTCCAATCTGTGAATTGAAAACCTTGACAGTTCATGTCTCCTTCTGTGCACTTGTTCAAAATATTCCAGTTCTTTCACTGTCATAATACCAAAGGATGTGAACCAAGTAAGTTTTTTACTCTCATAGTACTGAAGGATGTGAACCAAGTAAGTTAATGCTACCCAATGGTGAAAACTCCACAATTTAAATATAGAACTATAATAGGGAAAGTGGTAAAGTTGAAATGGAGTGGAGGGAATGGAAAGGGGATTTGCCTTGAAGCTGTGTTTTCATAGCAAGTACTTTCTCCTTATCTAAACAGCATGTCTGCATGAGTGGCTTAAAGGACCTAATCAAATTTTAAAGAGTCTTAAGTCACTCCTGGGAGCAACATGACACCCTCACTCACACACAGATATCAGTTGAGGTTAGGGAACTGAACCTGCCTTCTTTTACTTTTTAATTTGAATTAACGTGAGTATTCTCATCTTTTGTTATAACCTTCCCAGATTTCAGCAAAGGATTGTAGTGTCACACTTCAGCCTTTTTTCTAGATCATTCTCTCCTGATAGTGAATCTCTTAATCTTAACATCTTTGCCATTTGGATAGCCAGACACCTTTCAATACCATCAGGTCCTGGTTCTTTTCCCTTTA